GGAAGATGCAGGCTAATGAAAACCAACTTAATTTGAACTGAGTTCAAGGATTCATTGAACCACAAAGATCTCTGGATGTGTTTGGGTCAGTCACTATTTCTAGTCTAAATGACCTTACAGGCTTGATATTATGGTGATAAAAATGAGACAATTAACCCCCACCCCAAATCACTTTAGAAACAAAAGTAAAAATATAATTATAATGAAGATGGAGAAGCATGACTTATATTTAAGTAATGGACTAGTTAGCGAACATACCATGAAGTTTATTTAGTTCAGAATATTTATAATGGAATTAAAGGGGGAAAATGAGCCCCAGTTTTAAAATTCAGCTGGTGATGGATTAAGATTTCTATGGCCTTCTGCCAATGGGAGATTTAAATCTTAAATAAAGGTTAAGAAAAACTACGTGTTACAGAAAACCCATCAATCACCAAAATCCTATTTATGAGCATGCCTTAAAGATGAGAAAGCAAGCAGCTTGTGATAAGTTATGGCTTGGGAATGTGCAAAGACACAATAGTCAAGGATAACTGAGAGTTGTAGTCCAATCCACGGCACATGCATATGACACAAAAGGAATGCTGGAGCAGTTTAAGAAATCCTGATTTAATTAAAAACAACTCTGCAAATATAGGGTAAATCTTGGACTCTCAACAATCCTTCCCGATCCCAGCTTTTAGATTAGAATACATTCTTTGTCTTAATCCAAGATGATTAATGCTTTCATTTATAAATGATGAAATATTGTTGTAAACTTGTATCATATGTTGTTTATAGTGTTTAGTGCTTAGACATATTCCATGTGCTTTGCAGAATGAACAAGAGTTCTCCCACTCAGAAATAGAAATACAAACGGGGTAGAGTGTGACCCCTTTGACCTTTTTGTTCATTTGACTATAATTGTGCTTCTCTGAACACTAAATCACACATCAGCCAATCCCCTTAAGCCTCATGTTCTGCAAGCCAGTGTGATTTAGTTCATTGTGTCTTGTCAACCAGTTAACCCTAGATAATAGTGCCTTGTGAATGGGGCAACCAAGTAGAGCTTAGTACTAAGAACAATATCAGAATCATCTGTTCTTATATGAGCAAGACTGAACTAGATCTAAGTCTCCCACTACAGGTAGTCCTCAACTTATGGCCACAGCAGAGCCCAACGTTTCTGTTGCTAAGTGATAGATTTGTTAAGTGAGTTTTGCCCCCTTTTACAACCGTTCTTGCCACAATTGTCAAGTGAATCATTGCAATTGTTAAGTTAGTAACATGGTTGTTAAGTGAATCTGGCTTCCCCATTGACTTTGTTGGATGGTTGTGAAAGACGATCACATTTACTCCAGGAAAACTGCTACCATAAATATGAGTCAGTTGCCAAGTGCTGTAATTTTGATCACATGACCATGGGAATGCTGCAATGGTCCTGTGAAAAATGGTCATAAGTCACTTTTTTCAGTGTTGTTGTAACTTTGAACAGTCACTAAACAAACTGTTCTTTGTTAAGAACTTGTATTCCAATTTTTAATTCCAATTTTCCAATTTTTAAATTGCTTTCAAATTGAAAGAGTCTTTCCAAGGACTTTCCAAAGTTATACAAATCCATCACTTGACTTTGGAAATAATTACAGTACAGTAATAAGCTTCCTCTGGTTTTCAACTGATACTAGAAACCATGATGAAAACAAGGAAATTAGATGGCTGAAGATCTATAGCAATAAAATAAAACTTGGCAGTTCAGAATGGCTTTAAAAGACATAAAAAGGAGTCATGGATTGGGTAGACATCCTTGCTTTTCAATCTACCAACCATTCAGGTTTGTTGCAAATGATTGCTGTGTGGAGAATCATTTGAACACCTCTCCATACATTTTTTTTTAAATTTGGGACAAGTAAAATGGATATCATGCACATGTTCTGTGTCTTTTTTCTGACACCTTATTTAGAACCATTAGGAATTACATTTGAGTAACACATGACAGGGCACCACACATGGAAGTCCTAATAAAATCAATGGGATGCTAAGTAAATATGAATTTACCAATCAAATAGATTTTGTGGAACAGTGAAGTAAGGAAGGAACTCACATTACACTCAGAGAAGAAGAAGAAAAACAGAGTCATCATTTTATATCTAAACCTTTATTAGAACAAATCTTAAGAGCTGTTAAACAATAAGTAACAACAACTTGTGTTAACTATTAAGTTCTGCAAAGATATTTTCAACAATACGTTTCTAAAATTTCTGCACAGCAGAAGCAAATAGAGTTTAAAGTTCAGACGGCCATGTGCTCAAGTTAATTTGGTTTGGGCACAAAAACAGTCTCTAAAAATCACATTTGAAGTAAAAATGTAATCAGATGAGAAACAGAAAATGTCCTTCATTTGTTACCATGCAAATTACGAGTACATATTTGAAATGGTGATGTACCCTTTATCACAGCTGCATTAACGATTGTTTAAGGAAGTATTAAATATACATCTCAGAAACTAAGAAGCTATTAAGTTTCTCTTTTATTACCATGAACTATAAATGTTAATTAACATTTTAGAAGGGGAATAATAGATTGTATCAAAAGTTAGAAAATTAAAACTCATCCTTCAAAATAACATCTTATCTTTACATGGATTTCAGAAATGAAATAGCCTTTTAACACCTGTTAACTAAGCAATAAATACTTTATACCAGTGTACTATATGTATCTCTTTGTTCCAGTTTCTTGTACTTTACAAAGCAGGACTCTAAATTATAGAATAATTGATGATGAAGTGATTTTGACTTAGCTAATCAGTGCATGGAAGTACAAGACGTTGTATAATTGGCTCTAAAAATATATCTTGATTCCAGGGACAATAATGAGTGTTTCTAATTTTAATAAAACCAGAATTTACCCTTAATTCCACGAACCTAGCACAGTTAGTCAGAAGCAAGGGGATTTGCTATCAAATAAATTCAGTTAAGCTTTGTATCTAATAAGAGCAGAGTATAGGGATTGCTTCAGGAAACAAACAAGTTTCATTTAATTCAGTGGGATTTACTTCTGAGCAAACATGTAAGGTTTACACTATTGTCATGTTGTCCTGTTAGATCTAAGAAATGTTTTCTTTAAAAACTGCAATATTGTACGTTTTGTTAAGTAGTATTTATGCATCATTACTGAAATGAACAGGGGCTATAATTTCTCTGATGAAAGCAAGGGCACATGCAAAACTAAAGGAACAGTCCCATGCTACCTGTGGTTAAGTAGCAGTGCCCTCCAGGCACAACTGCCACTGCTAGTGTAACATTCGTTGGTGTAACTTCAGAGTAATGATTACTAAATGGCTGTAGTATTCAGAGGACTACTTTGCAAAATACTCTTCCAAGTTCCATTCCTTGAAAAGATTCCTTCCTGGGAATGCTCAGTGAGATGCCAAAACAGCTCTGCAACACAATTTGGCACCCATGTTTTCTATGCTTTGAGAGTGTGTGTGTTTCAGCTAATGAGGAGGTGCATTTGCAGACAACCAGCAGAATGGTAATCTGAGCGTGCACTCAAATGCCGAGGGCGCAGCCCTACTCGGCTCAAGCTGCAGCGTCGGAGCTCTGTTTTATAACGCATACACACACACACACACACAAACGTTTTTCATCAGCTCTGAAAGCAGAGATATCTACAGGCATCACACATACAGGGACAAACAAGAAAAATATTTCTTTTTCCTCCCTGCGTTCACATGGGAGCTTGTCTGTAGAACTGCCAACTTCACAGCTGATCCCTGTGGATGTATCTGGAGCAGCTGTTTCATGCTCCTTCAAATCTGTAAAGGGAACAAGGTTCTTCCTAGGTTGGCTAATAAAGCAAAGTATTGGGCAGGGAGTGCAAAGGACTGCAAACATTGCTGCAATAAAGCACTTTGAATAATTTGGAATGAGGAAGAGTTGCCAAATTAGTTTCCAGCCTTTGGGGTAATTCCTAAATAAGGCTTCCCACCCACTTCCTTGCACATCTACCGGTTTCCCTCACTTCATATCCTTTATATGTTTCTTCTTTTGCTGGGGGGAGAAGAAAGGAAGGGATGGAAGGAGGGAAGGAATGTGTTTTTTGTTTTCCATATTCAGTTAGTCCTCAGCTTATGACTATAATTGAGTCCAAAATTTATGATGTTAAACTAGGCAGTTGTTAACTGAATTCTTTCATTTTATGACTTTAGTTAGTTAGTTGTTAAGTGAATCATTGCAGTTGTGAAATGAATCATGTGGTTAAGTGTTAAGTGGGTCTGGCTTCCCCCACTGACTTTGCTTGTTGGAAACTGGCTAGGAAGGTCACAAAATGGTGATCACATGACCCTGGGACACTGCAACCTTCATAAATACATGCCAGTTGCCAAGCGCCTGAATCAGTGGTGGTTTTCAATTTGCTTTACTACCAGTTCACTCGTGAGCATGCTTGCAAGCACAGGTGGGTGGGAGGATCCTCCTGCAGCCACCACTACTAGTTCGCCCGATCTGGGGCGACCTGGCAGAAGCTCTGGCTGAAATGTTGACCATGTGACTAAGGGGGATTCTGCAGGGGATGTGCAAAAGCTGGTCATAGGTCACTCTTTTCAATGCTATGGTAACGTCACTAAATGAATGATATTAAGTCTAGGACTACCTGTATCCCTTAATTTACAGGCAATATTAATCAGTAGTTAATATTTCATTTAAAAAAAAATCTTGATCTGCTCTTTCTGTCCTGTGGCTTCTGGCAGGTATGTATACGTGCAGATATGGTTTTGTGACATGGGATGGGAGAAGCTGGATTAGTTTGTCTTGGAGCTGATGCCACCCTAGAGAGCAATAGCAATAGCAATAGCAGACTTATATACCGCTTCATAGGACTTTCAGCCCTCTCTAAGCGGTTTACAGAGTCAGCATATTGCCTCCAACAACAATCCGGGTCCTCATTTTACCCACCTCGGATGGAAGGCTGAGTCAACCCTGAGCCGGTGAGATTTGAACAGCAGAACTGCAGATCTAGCAGTGTGCTGCAGTGCTGCATTTAACCACTGCGCCACCTCGGCTCATAGATAGATTGGGGAAAAGTGGGATGCAGTCTGGGCATTGCTCTGGAAATTTTTCTTTCTTTATAAATTTTTCTATCTAATCTACTTTTCTTTTGTAGGAAAGGCTTTCTAAAATTAGGATCATCTGATAATATTTCTTAGCAGGGCAATAAATATTTACTGTTAATTGTGATAGATCAAATTGCCACTTGGATAGATAAAACATCTGGCTGAAAAGTTGGCACACCTACTTCTGATCTCCTGGATTGAGGAAGTTGAATAAATACCCCAGAAAACAGGTTTGTATGTGGATTGCAGCACATGTTGAAGTGGAAAGTCAGCAGAGACTCAATATCCTGAATTATAAATCAAGATGGATAAAACTAAGCAGAAACACCTAAATGTTATATTGCCCACTGCTTTGCTTTTAGAGCAGATGGAGGTGGGAAAATACAGGTTTTGTAACACTTGCAACTACATAAAACAACCAAACTTGTATCAATACTTTCAAATAAATCAAACGAGAGTTTTTGTTTCAAGCAATAGTAGATTAATGGTTCAAATGGTGCTTGTAAACTTAGGAACATAAAGTAGTTGATACCAATAGCCAGTAAGGCACTTTGTATTGGAGCACACAGCTGTACAGGCTAGGAAAGGGACAAAACTTGAAATGCAGTCAAGAGACATTTACATATTCTTTGACCATATATATTGAAAAAGGACATTTACAGGTTTTCTTCCTTGGAAACTCTTAACATTGTTTTGAAAAATCTGTTTACTCACTTAGGACAAAATGTTTAACAGTAAGACATTTCATACCTCTTTTTTAAAAGAAGAAAAATAAAGAAAACAACAGCCAACATTTTAATATCCAAGCCACAGTAATTAAAGAGAAATCAAGAGAGAAAGAAGGGGGGGGGGAGAAATCTCTCATGTTTCCTCTGTCCCTGGAATTTTAAAGATTGGTGTCACGACAAACCTCGGATGGTTTCACTCGGATGGTTTCACGGGGTACAATAGCTTTGGTATAAAACTTGCACAAGTAAAAGCTGACAACGTATTGCAGAAACAGTGCACCAGACCCAATGCAATGATGTGGTGAGGACAGTCCACCTTCTCTAATGTCTTTTGCTTTGCATGTTATGCTTGTTGAGTATCTTCAGCAGAGATTTACTCATGTAATAAGGTCTTTTGGTAGAACCATCCTGACTTTCTAAATCTCCCACTAGGAGGAAGAAAGGCAGAGAGCAAAAAATGAAACCAATCCAATACTTCCATCTGCTGGCTCTTTTGTGCACAACAGCAAACGCCTGGCGAGATATATATATATGTATATATTACACATGGGATGTTTTGGCATTTATTATACTGTAAACACTGGCGCAATAATATAATCAGCCCTTTAGAATCAAGTGGGCTAGATGCTGCACCAGTTCCATCAAGAAGAAGCCTTTGCCTCCGCTCTTGACTCGAAGGAGTGCAGGATCCAAGCCTATGTTATCATCTCATCAAGAAATGATTTTTCTAGTACATTATGACTTCTCTAAAGCACGGAAGTGCATTTGATCAAGCTTTAGCTTTATGTTAAAGCACTATATGCATAAAATGGACACTATAACAAACCTGCAGGGTTTGTCCTAAGGATTAAGAAACACATCAGTCAAAATTCAAAGCTATTTGCCTTTCAAAAATAAATTATTACTTAGTTTGCACATTAATGCTCATTCATTTCTGAGAAAGATATTCAGGAATTTTGCCTATCAGATGTACACTTTGCCATTATTTGACATTTCAAATTGGCTGAATGGTAGCCAAATTTCAGTGCTATTGCTTAGCATTTTCACATTTTTTCCAGTTGTTTAGTTAATAAAATGACTCTAGAATGTTTCCTTTAAGGGCATTTTTCCATTTTATTTCTGACTGGGTTTACTTATTCAAGTACAGTCTATCGGCTGTACTCACATATATTAAATCACAGTTTATTTTAACCATGGTTTGTTAAATAAAAACCAGGCCAGAATAAATATTGCATGTGGGGGGAAAATAATTTTGTGACTTCTTTGGCAAATTAGTTTATTTTTCTTCCTTTATGTGTTAGCTTCTTTGGATTGATTGCTAAGCCCCTGTTTTAATCAGTAAGATAACAACATACATTTTCCAGATGTCACTCCTGTTCTAATAATTGTTAGAATCAGTTCTAATTATCTAGAAACAATCCAGTGTTACACCTAACAATTCCTAAAGACATCTAATGATGTCTGATGGTTGCATTGTGACTTAAAAGTGCAATCTTGCTGTTTTTCAAATGAATATCATCAATTTATCTCAACTGAAAACATTTAAGACTAATCCTAAGATTTAATATGCAAGGACATGCTTAGCAAGGACTAAGTCAATTATTTTGCCTACTAAGTATCTCAAGATATTAACATTATGTGAACAGCATGATAGTTGGGTTCATATATAGCCATAGTCTAAGGTCTGAACAGGCATTACAATGGGAAAATATGTTTTTTTAATGATGAATTATATATTATTCAAACTGCTCTCCAGTTATCCATGGACGAAAGTTGCCTTCTAGAGACATTCCTAATAGATGTCTGCTAACACTCAGTGATTGCTGTAGTTAAGAGGCTCTATTCATCTTTTGATTTGTATATTTGCATGCAGAGAAACTAATTTGTTGTCCCTTTTAGTAGCACAGAAGGGAAGAAATTGCCTTCTTCTAAATGGAAAGGACCATTCCATTGGGGCAGGTAGACTCCTTTGGAGGCTCCTGCTGAGGGAAGGGCAAATGACTCTAACCAGGTCCTGGCTCTTCTTGCATCATTCCTGTTGTCCCAAAGAGCTCCTCGACCTTCTAGAACAGTTTTTGCTGAAGTAGGTAGAAGTAGCAAAATATTCCCTCCTCCAGGAAAGCTACCTTTGTGCCCAATCTAGATGAATTACACTTGTCTGCATGAAAAGTATATCTACTCACCGACATGGGCATTCAGCTGAGTGCATATATATAATTTATTTCAGACTGCTAGCTCTCTCAAGTGTTTTGGAATACAAATAATGTAAGCACCTTTCTCAAAAAAATATTCTCATCTGGAAATAAGTTGTTCCTTTTAACAGAATGGACTTCCAGGAAAAACTTCTTTGTAACAGAAAAGTTAAAAACTCTTGGAATTAAAAACTGGGGGATTAAAAACACCTAAGATTCTATATTAGTCCAATTAATATCAGTTGAATTGCTCAATTATCTTAAAACCAAGACCAGCTTCATGTAGAACTAGGCAGTTCAGTTGAATGAATTTTGGAGGGCCCAATTTTAGAAGAATAAGCTTGGTATTGATTTGTGCAATAAATTAGAGAAATAAGTAGAATTACCATTGCAAATCTGGCCACAAGCTTCAGTCAGAACTGAGGCCAATCACCCCTGTGTTAATCACAGAGGATCATGTCATGAGGGGATAATGGAATTAATGATCACAGGTGTTGAAAACAGTGTGTCCTTTTTTAAAAGCCTCTCATGAGCCAGGAGCAACAGCATAACTAAGGCTACCCATTGTTTTAATGTTTAACAGAAATAAAAGTTCATATGAGACAACTCCTAAATAAGCAGCATGACTGTGAAGAAACTCTGCTTAGAATATGTTGTCTCCCCAGCTTTTACTAGTATAAAATGAGATTAATGATTTTGAGTTCCAGTTATAAATAAGACAATTGTATTTTCCTTCACAGGAGTGTATTCTATTTTATGATGCAGAATACTAATTTTTGATATTTACTCATTAGGTCTTTTTCTATGAGACTCAAGACCAGGTGTTTTTTTACTTCAGCTACAAGGAATATTCATTCATATTACATCTCTCTCATTTCTTTCCTCTCTGAATGAAAAATGATCACATGTTCATATAAATAATGCAAGAGGGACCTAAATGGCAAATAATCCTTAATTCTTTGTCTTTGTCAAGCAGGAGAAGAAGGAGAAAAAGTTATGATGAAATGCAAATGATCTGAGTTTCAGCTGAGATCAACCTTCTTCAATCTGGTGTGTTCCAAAGATACACTGAACAAAGGTTGAACTGGTGAGGAGAACTGGAACAGAAGTTCCATCAAATCACCAGAAGACCAAGTTAGGAAACACCAAGCTTGTTTACAAGGATTTCTTCCATAGGGGAAAAAAAACTAATATTGGATTTTATTTTATGGATATTTTTTCTAGAAAAAAATGTTTACATAATGCATATAAAATCATAGCACTCTTAACCCAGTATTATTATTAATATTTTGCAACTGCCCCCATAAATATTGCATTTGGTGGCAAACAGGGGCTATTGCATGACGTACATTTTTAAAAAAATGAATAATAGATATTGGCATAACATTCTTTTTTTGAAAAAAATTGAAGGTATTTAAATAATCTTTGCTCTATTTTGTGGGTGGGGGGAGATCAATCATCAGGATCCCAATTTATCTCCATTTCAACTTTTAGGAGGCAACTGAATAAGCAATGTGCCCTTCCTCACATGGGAACCATTAGGTTTTTTTTAGTCACAGTTTAAGTAGCTGTCATTCAGCATGTACAGTAAAAATACAGCCATAGCACCATCATTACAATTTTAGGACTACCTGCTGGTTACCGATAATCTTGATATGTTTATGGCTAATTAGGATACATTGTAGTGCTTTGAAAAATTGCCTGAATATCCTTTACAAATATACACCTATAAAAAAAGTTATCAAAATGGCTGTCATTTCAGACAGCAAAATTTCAGGTTAGAAAAGTTATTAAAACACTAAGAGCTAAAGATTAAAAAAAAGAAGCTTCACATTTACACATTTCCCATAGGCACTCTATAAAAACTATGATGTGATCTTATTTCACAGCGGTTAAAAGACGTCTTGAAAATGTTGCCCATTTGCTTATTTTTAGATAGTATAAAGCAACACAAATGATTTATTAACCAGAAGCGTCATACTTAAAAAAAATCTTTTGTCTAAATTATACGCATCCTGCTTTTAAAATGTTTTTTTCTCCCCTCTTCCTTAAAACTAACACTGTTGCAATTTTGAGCATCATCCCATTAACTTTTTGGGACTCAGTTCCTTCTTCCCCAAAATCCGGTGCAGACTAGCTGACATGTAGTAAGGTTTTGCTGTAGATCCGTCATTCCTTTCCAAGTCTTCGCCTGGGTAGAAAGCAGTCAAGAAGAGCCAAAGCAAAAAGCAGACATGCAGTCAAACCAAAACAAATGAGAGATTCAGAAGAAAGAGAGGAAAAGAATCATTAGAATTCCTACAATGCTAGAGTTGAATTTCATTATGTGATGCCATTGCTTTTGTGATAACAAAAGCATTCATACGCAATTTCAGATCAATACCAAACAGGTCATAGCTAAGTTGCATTAAGCCATGCTGTGATCCATACTTTTTGCTCATGCAACAGGTTAACTTTGCAGGTTAACTAAAATAATTAACTTATACTTGGTGATGAAGCACAGAACCTACTAATACTGTATTTCCACAGTAGTCTTGGGTAGGGGGAGGTTGTGGGGTGGGGTGGGGAGCATAATGGTAAATCAACTGCAATTATAAGATGTTGACAGCTGAATGATTCTTTTGGAATAAAATAGATTCCGGTGACATGGAAAACTAGAAGACTGGGACTACAGTCACATAAGGTCCAGTTTACAAGTGGTTGATTCATTCATAATTATTTATTGAGCCCTGGATCATTTTTCCAAAGTTCTGTTTCAGTGCTTTCTCAGTAGCAAGTGGGATTCCCACGACTGGGATGCTCAAGGACATTTGTCATCTTTACAATTTCATAAGGATGGATAAAGTTATTTGCATACAGAGCACAGACTAATTCATGTTACTAATCCATGCTCCCAAGTAAAATATATTCTAGCTCTTTTCAAGTCAACTTGGTTGCAGAAGAGGAAACATGTTACTTTAAGTTCAACCAACACAGCTATCATGATTAAAACAGCAAGGATGTTATTAGCAAGAACACATAACACTTATCTACTGAAATGCTGCTGGACAAAATGAAGCTATAAAATACTTAGTGGTTAGTAATTATTATGGAGCAGTTTCTCAAAAAAGCCATAATGGTAATTAGCTTTTAGCAATAGTTCACTAGCTGACTAATGAAATCACATCTGACATGTGATTGCCCATGAATAAAAATTTCAACTGAGTAAACTGTAACAAGAGAAGCAAGAAACAGATCCCTCTAACATATTCATGGATTCTGTTAGGGAGTTGAGTTACCAGTCCTTTATCTGAGCATTACTGAAAGAGGAAATAAATCACAAAAAGCTGATGACTTACAAAAACAGAGGAAAAGTGTGTCAACACACATTGCATAGACACTGAAGAATCCGTGTGCAACCAGATATGACCCTATAATGACAGTCTGGAAAAGAAGACAAACTATGTTAAATTTACATTGTTGTGATAGTTTTTCTGAAGATATTCCTGACTCTAAACTTAGAAAATAACTGTGACTTCCCAGTCCTCTCTTCTCTTCCCCTCCTCCCAGCAGATTTACTAGAAATGGTGTGCAGCGGACCAGCTGTTAATAGTAAAGTACAATGTTATTAATAGCTGTCTGGATGGGATACTGTAGTTTCAAATTACATCTTCCTTTAATGTTACACTAACCCACTGTGAATTATGCTTCTTCTCTCTTGCTCAACCTTTCTTTAAAGGCACATAGTATATAGTCAGGGACTTAACTGTTTATTTCATTTGTATGCCGCCCTTTTCCCCCCAAGGGGGACTCAGGGCGGCTCACAGCTCAAAACAAGGGAAGGGGGGATACAAACGATTTGACAAACAACACAAAACAATACATAATTTAAAAGCGCAACAGTCATACCATTCGAGATAGG